TTCAGCAGTAGTTCTGCTGTCTGTGCAGGTTTTGTTAATGCATGTCTGCTTTTATGCAGCACACGGCGGTGTGGGGGAGTGTGTTTGTACCAGGGGTTGGGAGGAGAAAAGGTTAAGATTAAATGTCTTGAAGCTATCTATTTATTGATGTTCATTGGTAGATTAATTTTATCAGTTTATTAGTAAAGATTGACTTGGTATGCACATGGTTCAGGCTCAGGCTGCGCTCTTTTTCAAGAATAACCTATTGTCTTTATTCTTGCTTTAGAATGTAACCACAGTGAAACAATCACAAAATAGTGTTTTGATTCTCTGATTTACTTTCTTCTTTATTCACTGTATAGCTCTCTTTCTATCGCTCACGTGGACCTCCAACCTCCATTCCGCCTTGTCCTGTCTATACATGAGATGAGGCGAACTTGTCTCGGCAAAAATAATAGATCATGTTGCAGCATTTTGGAGTGTCAACGTTGACCCCCCCCCCCCACCCCCGGGGCGGTTTTTTTTTTCTTCTCTTCACAGAAGAGCGAGATGGAAAACTGCACTACTCGGTCCGTTGTATCAGGTTTTTTAGTGGGCAATTATGCCTGTAGTTTTGGAATATCCAGGATCTATCTACTTAAAGGAGAATATGAATGTCAGAATGTTCTTGAAATTTGGCAAAATACAGTGAATGTTGATGGTAGTTTTCTCACCGCAGGTGAAACAAAAATCCACTGTCCAGATGGGATTTATGTTGCTGTAAAACTGACATGACCTGACCCTCAAGAGAAACAAGATCTGTTCAAGCTTGTTTTAAGAGATACTTGTGGTAATCTTGGTTCCTTGCTAGAATAATTCAAAAAGATGTTTTATGTCTCAGCATGACAAAAAACTAAAGTTTTAGCTTAGATTAGGTTCAACTTTGTCATTATCCATGTACAAGGCAACAAAATGCAGTTTAGCATCTAACCAGAAGTGCAATAACAGCAGTGAAGAGTGTGAAGTATCTACAGTATGAACAGTCAGAACTAATTTACTGATAGATATGTACAATTGATATTTAAGTCTAAGTAAGATGTGTAGGTTAATGTATGATGTACAACAGACTGTGGATTCAAATTACAAGTAATGGACAAGGTACATTAAGCTTATGGAACACTAGTGCAATGGGATGAGATGGAATGAAACAGTGCAGAATAAGAAGACAATACATTACATGAGTGAACAGTTCAATGGATGTAAATAATGCAGGGATAAAGATAAATATAGAGTATCTGCATATGAACAGTGTGCAAATGAATACAGAGCAGTATCCTGTGAGTAGAGTATGTGCAAATTAACAGATCACTTCAGTGTTACAGGTAACAGAAGTGTATTGCATTAGTCCCAGGAGAAGAGATGAGAAGGGGTGAGGTGTGTGTGTGTGTGTGTGTGTGTGTGTGTGTGTGTGTGTGTGTAGTGGTATAGAGGAGAGCAGTGGGGGGTCAACGGGGGACACAGTTCAGTAAGGAGACAACTGTGGGGAAGAAGCTGTTCCTGAGTCTACTGGTTTTGGTCCAGAGGCTCCTGAAGCCCCAGAGGGCAGTTTGTGAGCAGGGTGAGAGGAGTCCCTGAGAATGCTGCGAGCATGTCGGAGACGGCGTTCCCTGTGGACACCCTCAGTGGCTGGCAGTGGAGTCCCTGTGATGCGTTGGGTGGTTTTCACCACCCGCTGCGACGCCTTGGGGTTGGAGACAGAGCAGTTTCCATACCAGACTATGATACAGCTGGCCAGGATGCTCTCGATGGCACATCGGTAGAAATTCACCAGGATGGCTGAAGACAGGTGGTTCTTCTTTAGTGTCCTCAGGAAGAAGAGGCACTGGTGAGCCTTCTTAATCAGGTTGTAGGTGTTAGTGGTCCAGGATAGATCCTCTGAGATGTGGGTCCCCAGGAATTTGAAGCTGGAGACACATTCAACAATCATGCCGTTAATATGGATGGGGTCGTGTGTGCCTCCTTTCTCCCTCCTGTAGTCCACAATGAGCTCCTTGATCTCGTCGGTGTTGAGGAGCAGGTTATTGTCAGCGCACCACACAGCCAGGTGCTGTACCTCCTCCCTGTAGGCTGACTCGTTGCTGATGAGGCCAGTCAGTGGTGTCATCTGCAAACCTGATGATGGTGTTTTTGGAGCCATGCACAGGCCTGTAGTCGTGGGTGAAAAGGGAGTAGAGGGTAGAGGGAAAAAGTGAGTTAGAAACATGACTGAGTAGAAATTCCTGTCCAGAGGAATTCCTTTTGTCAGGACCTCCAGAGATGTGAACACTGCTCCCTCACTGGAGAGGAAATATGGAGCTGACATCTTCCCCTGATCCAGCTCTGGCCTGTTAGAAATTATACTCCCTCTGTGTGTGTGCACGCCCTATAACAACATGGAAAACTCAAGTCACTGTGGTGGTTCTGAGGAGTTCTCTTCCCCTTGTTATACTCAACCCCTGCTGATAAATAATGTGATCAGGAGTGTGTGTGTGTGTGTGTGTGTGTGTGTGTCCTTTCAATATCACACAAAATAAGAG